ACGAGGGGCGGCCTGGTCAGACTGAAGCGTGTGGACTGCATAGAGTATGTCCTCGATCGAGTCGCCCATGCTGCTGGTGTGATTCGACCGCAGTTAAATAAACGTGTCTCATCATTCTGCCTTAAGGTCAGTCCGTGACATGGATAGAATTGAGGTCAAGATCCTGGACAGCACTCTCCGCGAGCAGGCGAAGTCGATCAGTCGCTTGCTCACGTACCACAGACGTTCCGTGACTGCAAGGGCCATCTGTGTCTTCGTAGAGCAGTTGCTTTGTAAATCTTGCCATCAAGGCCTAGCCGAACGATCCGCTGCACAACGGCACCCCGCTGTGCAGCGCTTGACAGCCGCCCGACTGCATCTCCGACCAGGTTGGACTCTGGTAAAAGGCACTGGTCACTGGTCAGTCGCATCCAAGGTGTTGCTGCAGCAGTGTTCTTTTTTCCAGCGACGAGCGGCGACAGCTGAAGCTGAGTCGGCTGCAGTCGAAGCCATTGAGGCGAAGGATTTTTACGGGTGTTATCACCTTGCAAGTCACTTCTTGCGATTCTACAGGACGGCACGTGCAGGGACGAGAAGCACCAGATAGTCGTCCAGGACCATGATGCCGAAGCAGTATCAACGAATCTGGTCAAATGGATTATATAGCCTTCATCACTGCTCGTGCTTAGCAAATTGGACGGAGTTGCTTTATTAGTTTCTAGCCCAGGCCAAGCCCAAAGAAGAGGCGCAAAGTCGACGACGACGCCCAGGATGCTCTGAAAATGATGGCTGGCTGCAGTTCAGCTTTGGGTGCCGTCTCGCATTCTGTGTTAGTGAAGTTTCCAATGCCGCTGATTAAGGCAGATACGGCAGTCGTCCAACTTCAGATCGGACTTCCATTGGAAGACGCCGAGACGAGTGAGTATCAGGGACCGGTATAGTGGCAAGACAAAATTTCAGCTCGCCAACGAGAACTTGTCGAGACTTGTGGCGGTCGCGAACAAAATCGCGCCCTGGCCAAAGAGGTGAGGTGCCAAGAGCTGCACTCACTCCAATTCTCAGACTCAGGTGCAGTCGCTGGACGACGATCCGCTGCTGCTGCCCCCTGACCTTCGCTACATCGCCGCGGAAGAGCTGAAGGGCTTGGAGTATCAGAGTCGCCTCCTAAGTGAGTCAGCGGCAGTGCAAGACTCCTAAAAGTCGATGTCTGCACTGGCAGCATTCAAGTCCTTAATTGTAATAATTACCAATATTTGATAACTGAGTCATTGCGTGCATCGCACGATTGAGCAACTGCTACTGCTGCTGGGTCCGCGACAAAGGGGCCTGCACAAGCGAGTCGTAGTGTACACGACAGTAGACACCTTTGCATCTCGGGTACAGGAGTCGAGCGGCTGAATGGAGAAACTGTAACATCCTTCCACTTTGCCCAGAAACATGTTTATTTTGATCCCAAAGCAAGAGCTTCACACGTCTATTTTCCGAGTCGGCAAGTTTGATCCTGACTGGGATGACGGTAGTCGCACATGCTTGCAATGGGAGCTTCAAGCAACGGAGACTCAGTCGAGTCTGTTTCATGTTTCATGTGGCAGAGTCGAAAGGCAGCGGGGAGAAAATAATCCTGGCCCAACACTGCATGCTTTGACGGTCTAGCGATGCAGCCTCCCACCATTGAGCCTCTGAGTCTTTTAGCTTCTCCGAGGTCGTCTTCGCAGCAAAGCCGGAAGCAGGACCGATGGCCGGAGCCCAGTTCCTGGAAATCGCTCCCTGTGTGCAGGAACGAGTGGATCTGCCTCCAGGCAGTTCCCGGTGGGAACATCACGAAGTACATCAACACCGGCGACGTGGCCGTCTTGGGGCCGCCTCCTTCTCAACAAGTCGCTCAGTCGTCCTCGCAGAGTGCTGAGATTCACTGAGAGTTCAATCTCATCGCTCTTAGTGGCTGGCTTCTGTTATGCTTAAATTTGCCAGGCATGGTCCCTGTATCCGTGATCACAACGCACAAGGCCGGGCACTCATGCTGCAGTGCAGGATCACCAGTCCGACAGGGACATAAACCGGAGGGGTTTCATTAGACCGGTTTTTTATGTGGAAAATGGGTCTAATGGCATCCGATAGGACAAGTGTCATTCGACGTGCAAAGCAGGCCAGCTATTCGGAGTCAAATGGCATCCTTGCAACAGAATATCATTAGACCCATTTTCTACATAAAAAATGGGTCTATTCGAATTCTTTTGGAAGGATGCCAATAGACCTCACCCCGGCCAGGTTTGCTTCGAAGTCGTCCGTTGCGGGACCAGGGGCCTTGCCGCGAGCAAGTGTGGAACTTAATCTGTTCATATGCTCACCTGCAGAGTGGCAGCCCCGCACGTTGCTGTCCTGGTCTGTTTGAAAGAAAGTGAGTGTGATGCAAGCTTCTCAGTAGTCGTTTCGAGTCGAAGAAGTAGTCGCAGAGTCGGAGCGCCTACTGTGCGGTGCGGTGGACATGGCAGCTGGCGGTCCCAAGAGGAAGCATGAAAAGTCTGCGCCAGAGGCAGCACTTGTTGCTGTGCCTGCCAAAAGCGCCCGACTCGCTGGGCCTGTGTCGGCCGCTGCAGCTCCAACGTGGGACTGGAGGGAACCCGAGCCCTTCGAGGACAGTCGCGAGACGATGAGCAAAGTAGTCTCCTGGGTATTCCGGCTTGCAGAATAAGTCACATGTGAGTCGTATGCCCTGTAGCCTTGGGGGGGGTGTGTCTGGGCACGCACTTAGGTGCAGTGGCACCTCCTCGACTTCGTCCGGACCTACAAGGACGACTCCGATTTGCAACTCAGCATGGTGGACACCCTGGAGTCGATCAAGCCTTTGCGGATAGACTCCAAGTCGGCCGCCAGCTACAAGGAGATGTGGGAGGACGAGCATGCGCTCCTGTCGCTCCATCAGAACAAGATGTACGAAGCAGGTGCCAGCATCTTTTGGTGTGCGATGGGACAGGAGTCGTCCAAGTTCTTTTTCGATGCAGTAAGCTGGGAAAGCATGGAGGACTTTGAGTCGAAGCTCTTTGGCGAGTCGGCCAAGGTTCATGGTCAGTTCCTCTTCCCGACGACGATCCACCTGTGGGTTTCCAAGTCGATGGAGGAGTCGGCCGGGTCGCTGGAGAAGCTTTTGAAAGTCGCCCGCTACCCGATCCTGAACGGGATGACCACGGTGAACGCCTGGTACTTAGCAGTCGCCCGCGCTTTGAAGGCGAAGGACGGGCCGCGAACGAAAGCGCTGCTGAAAGCGGGCTTGAGCGTAACGCTCCATCTGCGGCGTTTGGAGTCGGAGGCGGACGGGTACAAGCAGGCGATGAACTTGTCGGGCAACCATAAGTTGTCCGCCCAGGCCAATGGGGAGTCGCTCCTCAGTTGGCTGGTCCGGTACGAGTTCCTCTCCAAGGAGGTGGGCGCGACCGTGGTGGCGCAGCATGTCAAGTTCGCGCAGAGCCAGGCGATCCTCTTCGACTTGAAGCCGGTGACCACCTCGGTCATGACGGCTGTGTTCCTTGGCTAGCCTTAGCCACTCCTGTGTGTAGTCCGGGTTTGCTTCGATGTAAGCGACGACCCTGCTAGGATCAAGATCAAGGGCGTGCTCACCGAGAAGTCGCGCGCCATCCTCCAGTCGATGTCGCTGCGATACTCTTCCAAAATATTCTTGGAAGAGTACTCCAAGCTGTTGAGAATCGTCTACTGTCTACAGAGGTATCCGGCGGCGGAGAGGATGGAGTCGACCTTCTTCGAGTATTGCATGGAGAGCTCGCTAGTCGGCCTGATTCGCAATCAGGTGAAGCCGGACTTCTTCAAAACCAACAACATGGGCGCGGAGACGAAAGGCGGCAAGCCCGGCTTCGCGGACTTGTGTGCCGCGAGGATGCTCTTTGTCGACTGTGTCGAGAACTTCCTCAGTTCGGTCCAGAACACTCAGAGCAAGTCGGAACTGATGGATGTTTGGTCGAAGTTCAAGTCGCCCGTTGCGTGGAACGAGGACTTCCCAGTCGTCACCGCCGAGAAGAGTGGCGAGGATGAAGTCGTCCAGACGCCCCTGGAGAAATTCAACAAGGGCAAGTCGAAGCTTTCCAACCAGTTGGCCACCATGGGAAACTCCTTGAATTCGGGCGCAATAGGTATTGTTTTTTTGCATGGTCGACAAATAACTACTACGTAGTAAAATAATAGGTCTTGACAGCTTCGCCAATACCAGGTACGAGGGCGAGTACGATGCTGACTTGCTGGTCCTGTCGACCTTCTACGCCAAGATCCCGAGCGTTCTGATGGAACCGGCGGAGGCGGAGAAGAAACTTGCCTTAGTCGTCGCCTCGCAGGACCTCTTCAGGGCGATTGAGGTCGCGACGACGGTTGTTTCGACGTCGGAGTCGACCGCCACGCCTTTGAGGACGCTGGCCAAGTCGAACAGTTTGGGGGACGATCCGGAGGAGAAGAAAAGGAAGGAAGAGAGGCAGGCTGCATGGAAGGCGGCATCGAAAGCTCGGAAGACAGTCGTCCAATTCGCCGTGTTTCACGACACGGCCCAGGCGACTGAAGTCGTAGCCTCCAGTATCACGGCTTCGACGAAGACGGAGGCTGGCAAGTCGCATCGCCTCGTGGTCCTGTCAGTCGACCTTCTGCAGGAATCCGACACCAAGCCATGGGTCGACCCCTTTGACGGCAAGCCCACCGCCATGAAGTTCGAGAGCAGGCTTGTGGGCAAAATATGTTGCAGCAGTTTGTGTGCTGTGCCTGTTTCGGTGATGACTCAGGTTGGAGTGGGTCCTCAAGCAGTCGCAACCGGGAGACATTATAGTCGTTTTCGATGGGCGGAGTCGAAAAGCTCGGAAGCACCTGGAGCAGGAGGTCGCCAAGAGTACAATGGGTGCCAACGCAGTCGAACTGAGTATCATCTACTCTGGCAAACGCCCCTACCGAATGAGAACTCGCGAGGTGGCCTTTGGGAGTCGCCCGCTGGAGATTGGGTTCATGCTCACGGTCTTCAGTCGTAGCAAAATGCAGGTGCGCGAGAGGAAGACCTTTGCAGGGGCCGGCGAGGAGACTCTCGGCGGCAGCAGTCGACAAACTGGTTTAAAATATAGGGTTTTTAGGGTTTTGAACTTTGCATGACACCTGAGTCCGAGGTCGACCTTCTGCACGACGTACACAGGCGTTTCTTGGCCGGCGTCGCTGCCGATGATAGATGCGCAGGACAAGCAGCGCATCTTTGCCGCGAAGGAAGTCGCGACGCCGAAGAAGTGGTCCCGCAGTGGGGTTCCCTTGTTCTGGCACGAGAGCAAGTCGATCGCATGGTGGAGGCATGGTGAGTTTCAAAGTTTGTTGAGGTGGCCTTTTAAGTTTAAGCAGCTCCAGCATTGCATGTGCAGATTTCGGAGCCCTGATCAGGCAGTTCTTGGTCGACTTGCAGGTCACCAGCGTAGTCGACATGAGCCCGGGATCCGCTTCGTTGGCTTGCGCTTGTATGTCGTCCAAGGGCCAGTCGAACGCCTTCCGCCGGCATATTAATTGATTTATCAATAATAATAACGTTTTCGCAGTAATGAAGTCAGTTCCAGCTCAGGTTCACTACATCGGCTTCGCGCACGATGCCGCTCACCAGTCGTTCCTGGCCAATGTCACAGACCGAGCCTCCCTAGTCGTCATCACCACGCATGGCTCCTCACTCTACGAGTCGTCGCTCGCTGAAACAGTGGGCCAAGTCTTCGCGGACATCCTTGCTAGCGAAAGCAAGGAGGACGAACCTTTGCAGTCGGAGTCGGAAGACGAGGACGAGGTAGCTGGCAAAGCCTAGTCGCTAAAAGTTTCCAGCTCCGAGAGCAGTGACTTTTCATTCAGCAGATCTTGGCCATTGCCATCATAGAACAATGAATAATTAAGCGACGACTTGGCAGCAACCCAGCCAATTTTGTCCTCGTCGGAACCACAGACTGTCCCAGCACAGTCGACAGTCGGATCATCCCTGGCAGCTCCTGCCTGGAGTCGTCCCATGGAATAAAATGCGCCCGCAACGCTGCAGTGGTCAGGGCACTGTAATCAGTCGGCATCATGCTTTTCTTTTGGCAGACATGCAACGAATGCACAATCAGGTCGCACCCGGACAAGGTTCAACAGAGGTGCGTGCCGGCTGCCTTCAGTTTGACACTGCGCTTCAAATCAGACAGCCGTTCTCTGCTTTTCGCAACTTGATGTCCGAGCTAGTTGGTCTAAGGGCCAGGGCTTTGTTGGAGTGCGCAGGACATGTTCCAGCGATCGCAGCATGCGATACAGATCATAGTCGAAGTCTGAACTGAGAGAACTCATTCATTGAAAACACCGACTCTGACAGATTCTTACTGCCCGAATCTTGTGTGCAGGCCATGCCGCTCTGCCACATGCCCAAGCCGCGGGCCTGGTTCTTCAGTGGTAGCGTTTCAAGTTAGAATCCGTGAGTCAGACCTGCTTTTTCTGATCACATAGTTGCAGAAGGAGCTGGTCGGCGTAGAAAGGGTCAGGGCTCTAGGAGCTGGTCGGCCTAGTAAGGGTCAGGGCTCTGTCTGCTACACTTAAATAGTGCGCCCGACAGTGATCATCCCATATTCTCATTCCAGTCGTGCGCTAGCGGGTAGCCCAGGTCGATTTGATGAAATTGAAAGCATGACGGGTTCGGCCTTTGTGTCCTGATCAACAGTTTATCTGCATCTTCCAGTCGCAGCTGCTGGGCTTTGAGGCTCTGGTCGACTGCAGTTGAGGTTGGTTTGTTTGATGAAAGCATGGCGGTTTGTGTCCTCCCGCGGCCATGGCCTGAATTCCGGTCGTCATGCTTCTGAGTCGCGACAGAGGATGGACAGAACGATTTCGACAGTGCGAGTCACTCGCATTGTCGAAATCTGTTGTTGCCATCCTTTCTTGCAGCTGGTTTTGCCATTCAGGTGTAAGATGCTGGAGTCCAAGTCCTCATGGAAGCAAGTGCAGGCTTGGAGCTGGTTTACCGTGCACAGTGGCCTCAGATTCTGGAATCCAAGACGTCATTGACAACGGGTGGAGGCAACAGAGCAGCACTGAACAGGAACCCGTCGGCCTCCATAAGCCAAGCTGCCGCGGAATTAAGTTGGATCGAGAAGCTTCAGTCGGCATTGTCTCACCAGGCGGCTTGCAGGAAACAAAACGCCTCAACATGAGTCTGCCTGCCATCCCTCGTCATCAATTCCTGCTGCAATACTAAGCTTGCCCAGGTGACTGCAGCAGTCGCCAAAACGCCAGGGTCCCAAGTACTGGATGCTTCCTGTCAGTCGTCGTGCTGCATGTGAAGCCAGAACTGATCCCAAGTATGCTGATCGAGATAGTCGGCTCAAGTGCAAGCGAAATCCAGCATGGGCAAAAGTCGGCGGCGTGCTAGGCAACAGGCCCAGGAGCCGGTGGTCCAGGTGAAGGAGGAACCGGAGTCGGATACGGATGCTAATTATTTGGAATCTCTCCTGCAGGAAATCGACGAGCCCGACTGTCCCTTGGAGAAGTCGGATTGCAGTAGCAAGACGAGCGGTCGTGACCAAGACGACAGGCTCATGCAATCAGACGTCCCACATGGATTTGCGTCGACCAACCCCAGAAGGCGTCGACCCTGGAAAAAAGTCGACAAGGCGGAGAAACGAGCTGCACGGCAGGAGAGCAAGAAACTGTTGAAGCGCCTGGGGAAGACTGCCAGACAGCATAAGTCGTCAGCCCCAGCAGGCACAGGGCAACTGGAAACATTACTCACCTGCCTGCGAGCCGACCCCTCCTCTGCCAGAGTCGCTGCCCACCGTATCAACAGGACGCTTCATCCAGTTGCTCGGCGAAGCAGGAAGAAGCAGAAGGCAAAGTTCAACGACAAGAACGACAATAGCAGCAGGCCACAGTCGACGCGTCTGCAACCTACACGCTATCACGTGGAAAGATTGCTTTCGTAGTATGTGTGCGGAGCATGCGGCTGGCCAGATTCCAGATGCGATGCTTGAAGTTGAAGTTTCGCAAGGATTGGCTGCACGCTATAATAATATACGACGGACGACGAAGCGGGAATACATACACTTAGATGTTCACAATGGCTGGTTTGGAAGCCGAACCCCCAATGCCTTTCATACCTAGCAATCGTTGCAGAAATCGTGTGCACGGCCAAGAGATGCACTGACATGATCACGAGTTACATTTGTATGGTCTGGACGAAGCAAAGAATTCTGTGAGATAATAACGAAGATCAGAAGTCGGGCCGATCCATGCCGCAAGCTGCTCTTTTAGTTGGCTAGGCTTGCTCTCTCTCTCAACATTGAGAAAAAAGAAGCCTGCACTTGCTGCCTGAATGCGGGTTCGGCAAGTTCGCGAGTCTCGCTTGGATCTGCGTCTGCCAAGGCACTGGCAGGTCTTCCTGCTGCTCTCTTTTGCAGAGGCCGGCGTCGTGTGGCGCATCAAGATTGTTTCGGGGACTGCAAATGCCGGTGGTAAGTACATGTCTTGCTCGGCCGAGTCGCCTCGAGTCACAGTGGGAAAGCATCCAACCATGACAGTCGCCGAGCATGCAGCGAAGCGAAACAAAAAGGTACCGAGGACGGCAGACCTCGTGGCCGAATCTTTGGCAGCACTAGATTGCGTGCTGACACGGGAGCTTGAGTTTTGAGCTGTGTTTCGCTGCAAGGAGTCGTCCAGGAAGCTTCTCTGGCGGGTGCGAATCAAAGGCAAGCAACACGTATCTGGCGTGGTGCAGGACTGCAGTCGTTCTCCAATTTGCGACCTGTCACCAATGCAGTCGTCGCTGGTTCCGATGGTCGACAAGACGAGGTGCAGTCGTTCTCCAAGTCGCGATATTTCACCAATCCGACCGTCGCTGGCTCCGATTGTCGACAAGACGAGCTCGAGGTGCAAGACGAAGACTAAGAGAAGCCGTCGTGCAGGGAGTCTGGCCGTGAGAACGGCCAACCCAACCTTGGAAGAGGTTCTTGTCTGCCTCAACTCCTATGATTCTGAAGGCCCGCGAACTGCTTCACGGCGAATTGCCACAGCAGTGGACGGCCGGAAGAAACGACACAAGCGGGCTGTTGCGATGGGTCGGCCAGTCCCAGTCGCTTCCGTTCGTCGGGCCACTCCGACAGTCGCTTTGAAGGTGGCCTTGGAGGAGTTGCTCGCTGACCCCTGCTGCTTCGCGGCTTCCAGGCCACAGGTGAAAAGGGCCACAGTTGCATGTTCATAGTCGTGCACACTTGAAATTAGTCCACGTGCTGGCGCCTTTAGTCGTCGCGGGTCTGCTTGCAAGATGACAGCCCGGACATGTACAGGAAGGGTGCAGCAGCAGTGCAATTAGCTTGAAATTTATTAGTTCAATTTAATTTAAAACTAGTCGACTCGTCCGTCGGAGCCCGGGAGCAAGGCTGTTGCAGAAAGGAACAGCAGATGCGGGGTTGTTGGACTTGCAACACCGTCCTACGTGGTTCCACTGTGAGCGCAATTACGTCTCGTGAACATTGCAGCTGCTGCTAGGCCTGCCGACGATTGCCGATGGGGACCACGCTGAGTCCTTGGAATCTCAGAATGTGCTCTTGCCGTCTTGCGACAGTTGCATCTCGTGAACATTGCAGCTGCTGCTAGGCCTGCCGACGATTGCCGATGCGGACCACGCAGAGTCCTTGGAATCTCAGAAGGTGCTCTTGCCGTCTTGCGACAGTCCATGCTTTGCACGGCGTTTCCCGGTTGCAGTCGCAAAACCTCGAGGTCGCCTGATGTTTTAGTCGTCATCAGTGTCAGTTGATACTACATGATAACAATTTCAGGTTTTATGGGTTTCAGTCAGCATATTGTTGCTGGCTTGCCTGAGCCATGAGCCATGGGCAAGCGTTCGCTGGAGGACCTTTTATCGGAGACGTCTGCGGCGGGACCTGCATCCAAGAAGCCGCGCTCCAACAAGAGTGTCCCGAAGGAGACACGTCGCCCTGCAAAGTCGGTCCCGAAGTCGCCCCGGAAGCCGACTGCTCCCGCCAAGTCGAAGTCAGCCACGGCCAAGCGGTGGACAGCGAAACTCTCCAAGGAGGAACAAGACGAGATGTTGCAGTGGACCGAGTCGGAACACCGGCAAAAACACGCGGAATTCCACGAGAACTGCGCCAGATGTCGGTGGGGCCGGTTCGGCAAAAAGTGGACACAGGAGTTCCTCGGCAATCAAGTCTAGTAGGTTTTTCTTTCTTTTATGCCTAATAGGCACACGGCCAGTCCTCAGGTCGGGCCATGTAAAGTTCAGCAGCGCCGGCGGAGTCAAGATGTCCGTCAAGTGGCTCACCGAGAGACAGCCAGCAGCTGGCAAGATGTGGGGCGTCGGCTGTCAGATTTGCGCATATGCAGCAACGACTTGCAAGTCGTCCAGCGACAAGCGGCGCACCAGCAAGTCGTCCACTGCATGGGGTCGCTTCGAGGTGAACAGCTTCAACTCGCTGTCTAGCTGGTCCATCAAGCAGCACCTCATGCAATCTTGTCACAAGCGAGCTGTTCACAAGTGGTTCGCTTGTGAACGGCCCGAAGCCCAAGCAGAGCCTCGTCTGACATATCGGCAGACAGTGATTTATTCAAAACGTGTTATCCGAAAGAACCTTTGCAGACCTGTCAGGTCGATTTCTTGGAGACCTCTCGCGAGGACGAATTGTTGTTGCAAGGTGCCGTCGGGATCTCAATACTGTATGCAGGGTGATGCGTGGCGAACATGTCACGGATCTCTGTAGTCAGACAACCAAGCCTGCTAAGGTTCCCCAACCGCGGGATTGGCTGATGGTGTGGAGATCCATGAAGACGCCCTCC